GCAATGCGGAAAACGTGAATGGATGAAATTTGCTAGTATCCGGATGTGTGCTAAATGAGTTTTGTCTTCATAAGATAAAGATGGGTTCACACCAAGCAGTTATTAGCCACCAAGACAAAAGCTTTAGTTGTAAAAGTAGAGGGAGAAAATGTATGTTCTTGAGCTCAAATCTGATTCTCAGTGTGACAGACTCATGATTAAAAACAACATATGAAAAACATCACGTAAATTGGAAAATGTATCCTTTTTTGCTCAGTGAGTGCTTTGACAGCTGTCTCACTTATTCTCCCCTCCTTCTTTTCAGCATCCAACTCTAGGAACAAGAGCATTAACACTCCTGACCTCCATTTATTGTTGGACTGATGTCTGTCAGCCTTTTTCATTTGATTTTGCTCCAATAAAAATAGAACATTTTGACATTTTCATTCACAAAGACATTTTTGTTGAGATTTTATAACATTGAGCTGACAACGTATGACATGTTCAAGTCTTAAAATTATACAGTACGTAGATGGCTTAAGATTTGTTTTCACCCTATACATTCACTTTGACAATAACAAAGCTGTGAACAGTGAACAATGGACAACGGTTTCACTCGGTGCGACTTCTGGTTTGTTTCTCTTTGTTAGACTCATAGTTGTATAAAGTATAAGCCATTTACCTTTTAGATATTATTTTACGAACGTGTCATAGGAGGGACGACCGATTTACTCACCTTCTCATGGGTTGGGGCATATTATCTTATGCAAAGGTTTGGCACAAGGCCAAAGATGTGACCAAGACATTTACTGGTCAATCCACACAGGTATGTAGTTTCTGCACCACCAGTGCCCTTGAGACATTCAAAGGTTTACTACCCATTGAGTTTAAAAAAAAAAGAAAAAAAGAAAGGGGATGAAATGACCCAAAATGAAGAACACCAAAGTCAAAGTGCACAAAGGGCAGTTGTATGGGTTTAAAGCCATACACCCTTACACCTCCTCAGTATGTAGTTCTAAAGAGTCCAGTCCTGCTACTGACCTAATTGTTTGACTCGGGTGTGTTGAAGCAGAAACGGATCTAAAAGTCTGGCCCCTCAACAACTAGAGTTGAAGACCCCTGGACTAAGTCCACTGAGTCTTACTGTGTGACACTGCGACTGACAGATAAATGTTCATGATTTTCAATAATAATAATAAAAGCATCATAAAGATGCTATATTTACGATCTATGCTACTGCAATGACTGTACAACTGACTGATAAACACTCAAGCGCTCTAGTTTACCTTGGTGTAGAATATACTGATATTTGAATGTGTACTTTACAGAAATGTTGCACTAATGTAATGCTGTGGCAAAGTATATTCGAATAAAGAAACAATGCTCACATATTGTGGTCTTTACTATTTGACGAAAAGCACTTTCAGCTCATCTTAGTGAGAGCACCACACAATATGTCACTGGTCACAGTCTTGTCCAAAATAACCATAATTATAATTTCTCCCCATTGTCAAGCATCCCTAGTTTCAGGGCAGAAATACTATAAAGTAAAAGCTTATTAACATACTACATGATGACAGAATGGTATTTTGAAAGGCCTGACTAATGCAACAACTTCAGCAAAGTAAGAGAAAAACCTGGGTGATTTCCTTAGCAATTAGACACAAAGAAGGACAACATGTACGAATTGGGACATAAGCAGAGTTGTTTATATGCAACCCCCATCATTGTGCAACAGGTCCATGGTCAATTTGATACAAACAGTCAATCAATGATTTCCAGCAGAGATGAGCACATTGATCAGTAGAAATACTGAGAGCTGGCCTCTGTTTCCAGTCTGCCTTTGTGCCACACATCTATTTTTAGGAAGCCCGTGGCAGCAGATGAAGGCATTTGATCGAGGACCTCAAAGTTAGAAAGCAAACTGACTCAAGGTCAGTTCACAATATGTGGATGCTTTGAAAATGTGTTTTTTTTTTTTTCCGCCTTTGTCACACTGTTATTGTTTAACTGTTTATATATGCTGGCTTGCGTTGATTTATTTCTGCTCTTTTATGGCACCCTCACCGGAAACACAGAATGCCGTCCACGTCTAACTCTGTTACAAACCGTTTTGCGAAACCTTGCTGAAAATGTCTCTCGATTAAATTCTGAACGTGGCTGCATTTTACAGCGTTTTAATGCTTTTCGTGCCATTTGATCCAACCTGTTAAGTGCAACCCATACCACCCTGAACGTCCAGCAGGAAATTCCACAGGACGCCAGACAGAATAACCCAATAAAAGTAAGAGCACCTAAATCATTAGTGGGGGAAACGCGCTCGCATAACTCACCCAGATGTACAGGCTAATTAGATTTTACCGTCAAATCATTGGTTATGGTGCCTTTGTGCTTTTATGAGCCCTTACCACAAGGTAAAAGGAGAAAAGGGCCGTTTGAAGTGACAAAGCTTCTCTCTGAGCTTTTAACAGGTACACTGGGCTCTGTTTGGTGTGCAGACTATGACTTCACACCACAAATTGATCTAAGATCCTCGCTGCAGCTTACAGTGACTCATCATTGGCTGATGTAATTGGTGTAAAGAGGTGATTTCCCCTCTGCACCTGGTTGCCCTCAGAACTGCGAGGTGGCCTCTAGAGAAACTGAACTCGGGGGACGGGGTGGGGCTGCTGGAGTGTACGGCAATACGTGGGAAGTTGCAATTATTAAGGATTTTTTTTTTTCTCCCCACTGGGTTGGATGGAGAAATTGGCACCTACACAGAATCATATCTGCCACTTGTCTCCCAAGGTGGCATGATGAAATCTGCATAACGACAGCCCTCGAGATGAACAGCTTTTAAGTTCATTAAGCACAAGACAACAAAACACTCCTGATTCACCCCCTCCCACGCACGGGTCACGCTCTTTTAAAGGGAACAAAATGCTCTCAGGGTCAGATCGAGCATGATAGAAGGCGTGGCGTTTGTTCCCTTCTCCTATCTGTTGCAACACTTATACTCTGCTCCCCTCCTTCATCTGCAGTCTGCCTCCCTGCTGGGTTTCATCATGCACAATGTGTCACAAGGCTGCAGTGCTATGGTGATTAAGCCAGAGAACTTTGGGACTTGATTTGGATCTGGTGCTGTAATTGTTGTGATATGTGTGGGCTCCTTTGTCAGGAGAAAAAAAAAACAAAAAAAAAACACGGTAAGCCAGGTTATGAGTACAGTTTGTGGAAGTGGCACAAGGGGATGTGTCTGTTTTTTTTTTTTACGTTTATATATTTATGAGCTGATTAAAGGCAATAGTAACAAAATGAAGTTTAAATGCAGTGGTATGAAAGAAAGTATTATCCGTCTTTACAGGGTTTTTTTTTATTTTTATTTAACGTGAATTATTGCAAGAGAGGTTGAGGTCACAAAATAACTTAGAACAACATCCTATGCTCTGTGGACCTCTCATCTCTCCCACCCCTCAAAAACATTTTTGAAAATATTATGTGGATAAAAGAGACAAAGATTTCTGGTGGTGTTCGGCCTGTTATGTTTGCTGAAAAACAAACACAGCATTTCAGAGGAATATCTTACCAACAGTCAAACATGGTAGTGGCAGTGTCATGGTTTGGGGCTTCTTTGTTGCGTCAGAACTTGCTATGGGTGACAGAATCATACATTTTGTGAACTAGCAGAACACTCTGCATGGTGGATGTCCTCCCATCAGATTGCATCTTTAAGCTCAAGCACATATAGCATAAAGCACACCAGCAAGCAAGTCCAAGAGTGAATTCAATTCTGCGGTACGATCTTGTACAGATTCATGGTTAAAACAGCTTTACTGTGGTTGATCTAAAAACAATTCTGCAAAGAGGAATGGGTTACAAATGTTTAAGGGCAACTGATTCTCTAAATAGAAACACAACCAGTTTAGCTCTAAGGGGTATTCAGTTTTTTTTTGTTATACAGGCCCAGGTTGGTTTTCTTTTCATAAAATGAAATCACCATTGGAAAACTGCTTCCAGTGTCCGCTCTGTTTATCTTTGTTTCATAAACACATTAGCCTGACAACATGAAACATTTAACTGTGACAAATTACATAAAACAAAAATAAATCTATAGGGGGAAATACTTCTTTCCAGCATTGTACACTGATAGGTTTTTACGTTGGAAGGCTTTAATTGCAGTGGATTTTTGACTAATTCCCTCCTTTTGCTTCGTATCAAATATTGCTCCTTTTTAATGCACCGCTCTAGTTTGAAGATCAATGTTCATATATGCACGACACTCACACAAAGAGAGTTTCTGTTTGATATGAGGGAGGTGATAGACAGTGAAGTCCTGGCCCCTGGAGCGCAGAGCAGAGTGGCTCTCCAGCAGGGATGCTGACGTTCAATGCTTTAATAGGACTAAAGGCAGACAAAGGCCGCCAGTGACGCAGTAGGAGCTATAATGGGCTTGCCACATTGCAGGTTTACTGGACCCTGCTTATTGGGCAGAGCTATTTCCAATCCTGCAATCCCTCGTCAGCCTCAGGAAGCTAGTTATAAATAAAAAAAAGTGTAGGTTAATCGCAGCTAAGAGAAGTGTGTTGTTTTTGAGGAACATGTAGTAAGGGCAAGGCTAAGGCTTTTCAAAAATCTACTTAAAGTTGACACTGATAATGAAGTCTTTGTAATTAATTAAAGTTATTTTTGTCCGTGCTCGGGCACATAACATATAAGTTGCTGGTCTAAAAAAAAAAAAAAAAAACAATTTTGTGGCAAGTCTTGCAGTTGAGTGGTTAGCAGACAAACCACTTGTAGCTTGCTTACTGCAGTTTTAAAACATTGTTCATAAAAAGAGAGACTCGCAGCCCCCTTTGAGTTACCGTGCAATGACTGTCTGTGGTTTTACTGACAAGAAAAATGTACAAACTGCCAAATTTCTTTTCCTTGTAGTTGCATATTTTATGCCAGATAACCTGCAGTTTACAGGTTTTATTATTCTCTGCTACTAGTATATAGTCTCAAAAACATGTGTTGCTCTCTGCTGATTCGCTGCTCACCTTTAATGCTTTTTGATGAACTGAGCTGAGATCCAGACAGATACCATAACTTGAGATGCTATGAGTAAATAAGAAAATGCTCAGCTCTTCGTAGTTTCATCCGAGGTGGTGCTACCACCTCTGCGGAGATGGAGAAAAGTCAGACCACTCTAGCATTTCCTCTGGGCTCTCATGAAGAACTGTAAACCATGACAATGATGAGATGAAGTTCTTTGCCGTTTTTAAATTCAAATTCTGTAAAAACTTTGTGTGCTGCGATACCTGGCAACATCGAAAGAAATCCCCACCTCTGTGCAAAAAAATTCCTGTCATAGTAATAGTTGCTCATATTGCCCTGACCGTCTTGTATCTCCTCTTGGGCAGTTCGGCCTCGGTACATGGGAAGGCCAGCCCAGGGTCAGAGCCGGCCTCCTCTGACAGCTAATGTGACAGATGGAGCTCTGGGTCTTTAGCAATCTTTACCATGGACTTGAGGGCTTGTTATCACTCTCGCCATCCCAGCCAGAATGAGAGCCCAAAGTAAATCATGGAGATCAGGAGTTTGTCAGATCTGTTTAACTGTGATGTGGGTCTAGAATGTTCACCCCCTCAAAAATGTCCGTGGTTCTGCACAATAGTCAGCTCTGATATTAAATTATTTAGGGGTTTTTTTCCCCCATGATTTTATTTAGTAAACAAGCTATGGCGCTTTTCTGAATTTTGCGGTAATCAGCATCCATATAGACTGCACATGGTAGTGCTTGTTTGCATAACAGCAGCAATCACACCACATATATGCTTTAGCTTCAGGGTTATTCTGTGCCTGCATTCTGAGCCCACAAGCTGAGTATTTCCTTCTTGGCTTAATGGCTGTGCAGCGATAAAAGGATTGAGGGGGTTAAATGTTTGTCCAGCTGAAACAACACAGTAAAAAACTCCTTCTCTGTGTCTCTCGTATTCCAGTCGTCAGAGCTCCAGACCTAAAAATAGCTGTGCTGGCTCCACGCCCCTGGCAGGGGGACAGGTCAAATTATGAAGGAAGATGAAAAATTTAAAGGCGCAGGCTGCTTGGCCACAAACCCAACCCTGCATCAGTGGTCAGATTGAACATTTGACTTGGCCTTTTAGTGAAGCGAGTCAGATTGTATTAAATGTCGATCTTTGTTTTGAGATATCAATTGGAAAAAAAAAGGGGGAGGGAAACCCTGGAAATGTGTGTGAAGAGCATCAGAACACAAGTTTTGTAAATGTAAAAGTAGAATATATATATATATATATATATATATATATATATATATATATATATATATTTTTTTACTCCAACATTAATTAGTGTCAAGGATATTTTTGTGGAATAGGATTTCACATCTTAAAGAGGTGCTCTTGACACAGTTTGAGGGGTTTATCTAATTACCATCATGCTGTAATGCCATCTTACACTTGGCTTCTTTGGTGAGCTGAAAGCATGCTTCCTGAGTCGCCGTCTTGCCCTGGATACACACTGAACCTCGTGCATAAACCCCGAGCTAGCACAGCGAGTTTGCATGCTGCATCTCAAAGGGACATTTTGTTCATTTGTTGTCTTAGCAGATTGTTCAAATTGCCGTGAATTTGTGTTCATCACTCCCCCCTGGAGAGTCAGTTTCTTTGTGAATCACTTACCTGTGCTCTGACATGCACATGTAAAATGAAGGTGCCTTTTTTTTTTCTTTTGGAGACGTCAGGGTGAAGGAGGCTGAGCCTATTCCTGCACCTGAGAGAACAAAAACAGAGACATAAATAGAGTGAGAGACACTGGTTCAACAAATCAGAAAGGAGAGATAGAGAGAGGTTTCAAGCCTCCATCTGCAGAGAGCGAGTCAGGAGACATGCCTTCTGGCAGGAGCTGAAGAAGACAGCTGTGTTTGGTGTGGTATTTTTAAACGCATCAATGCTGCTCCAATCCCTGCGCCTCGCCTGACCTATTTTTAGCCAGGGCTGGCCATTGTTCTATTTCTGTCACCTGTGAGCCCCGCAGTTGTTGATTCACATGCAAATGAAGCTCGCTCCCTCCTCGGCTTGCATTTCTGCCTGTACGAGGTGCTCAGAGCACACAGCTCTCTCAGCAACTCAGCTTTACGTTCTTCTCTCTGCCCGGACACTTTGAAGGCTGCAACGCAGGAGGGACAGAGGCAGATAAAAGAATCAGAACCTGCTGCCATCTTCCTCCAAACATTGTGTTGATGTTTGGACCAGACTGAAGCAGGACTCCCGGGAGAGTAGCTGCCCTGCCGAGACACACACACGGAGAGAGAGATAGAGAGAGTGTGTAGTTTTCGTGTTAGAGCTCTACAGTCGGAGTAGTTCCTCAGAGGAGGAGGCAGAGGAAGGGAGAGAGTCGCCCGTCGTCGTGGTCTCTCCCCCCCCCACCCTGAGTTTCTGAGGGGTGGCTCTTGGTGACAGGAAACGCAAGGCTGGCGATGAGACCTGAGCGCTGACTGGAGTATGCTGCAGACGATTTACGAGGGCGAGTCAAGTTTCTCCACAACAGAGGGGCGCGTCGGACACCAGCAGCTCCTCAACCAGAGCAAGATGCACAACATGAACAACTCAGGTGATCTCACGCTCCGCTGTCTCTGCTCATCCTAAGGAGTCCTCTCTGTCCTCCTGCTTTTCCTCTTGTTTTGCTTTCCCCCCAAATCCCTTCCGCCCTCCGTGCTTCCCATGCACATATCCACTCCATCTTTCTGTCTCACTCTCTCAACTCGTGCGCTTTTTTTTTTTTTTTTTCCGTGGGAGACATCTCAGCCCACTTGGAGCAGAAACTTTTTTTCCCCCCCGAATCAAGGTATTTTCTCTGACATACATTGCTGTGTGAATTGTTTTTCTGTGTGGGCTTCTGAAAATAAGTGCTTTTTTCGTCCCTGTTGACTTAAATCAGAAATGGAGTTAACTCTGTTCAGCTTGCTTGTAGCTCACTGAAATGACTCACTGTGAACATGACAGGGATGTTGGGTTTTGCAAGCTTCCATGTCAGCGTGCACTTTTGAGGGAACAGGAAGGGAAAAGTTACAGAGACACTGAAAGCAGGGGGGGGGCATGTAAAAGGTTTCTCTTTGGACATTTACCACCAACTCGGTATCTGTTCTATGTTGGGCTTGGGACTTGAATTGAAGAGTTCACAGCTGACATCAGAATGAGTAACATCTACTTACTGTATTGACTCAAGAGCGACATGAGTCCCACTTTTTTTTTTTTTTTTTTTTTTTTTTTTTTTTGGTTTCCCTATGTGACTGCCGAGAAAACTCAAAAGTATCTTTAGAAATTATGACAGAGTTGAAACTGTGTGCTGTGTGAAAACATTATCCTACAGTTGCGTAACTTCATAAAAAAAAAGAAGAAATAGAACAACGCAGAAGGGTTTTAACGAGCTTCTTGCCTGTACACTTACATTTTATAGCTACCTTTTAAATTGGCTGTAAATCTTTTAGTATTAACCCAGCCAGCATGCCTAGGTGGGACCCATGTGGGGACAAGGAGGGCAGACTATATGGGTCCCATATGGGTTTGTCCGCGGGTTCCACGATGGCCCCACATGGGTTTGCCCATGTAGGGCCACAGCCCACATGGGTGCTACATGGGCCCTAATTGGACAAAACCCATGTGGGCCACCACCATATAGGGCCCATGCAGGGCCCATGTGGGCTCTGGCCCTACATGGGCAAACCCATGTGGGGCCATCGTGGAACCCGCGGACAAACCCATATGGGACCCATATAGTCTGCCCTCCTTTTCCCCACATGGGGCCCACCTAGGCATGCTGGCTGGGTAAAGTGAAAATAGAGTGGATTCGAGATAGTTAAGAAGGAGAGACGGAGCGTCAACTCCCACTGAATGTACCTGGAGCCTTACGGATCTTCTATAACCATCGGGCTATAGAAGAAGGGATTTCTTCTATTGTCTTGCGGCTTGTGAACCAAACAAGACCCGTAGAGCGCAAGCACTTGAATTCAGGCTCCTTGCTTATTCTGTGGGTCAGCTATTCTTAGGTGAGTTATTTTCAGCTTATGGCATTAGCCTGCTAAGATTAGGCGTCTGTGCGCGTTATCATTCCATCTCGCATGCTCCTGATATAACAGCGCCTCAGAACAGATATTAATAGAGAATTCTGCCGTTTGCCTGTTTTAATTTGTTTTTTTCCCCCCACTTTAGAATAAACCACATGACGATGACTAACATTATCTGCACAAAGAAACGTCTCTGTGTAGAACTGAGTGAGTTTACTAGGTTTCTCTGGCTGTTTTGTTCGCAGCAAGACATCAGTCAAAATGTTCTAATAGTTTTATGTTTATGTGGTCTTGTCACGAAAGGAGCGTGTGAAGAAGCTCCAGTGTCGATTAAGTAGCTTATTTGTGATGTGTTGGTCTGAAACACAGTTCTGATCCGTCTTCCCTCCTTTTATCACACTTCAAGTGGATCAGAGAATAAAAGGGCTTAATCACAATTTCAGATTAGCATCAGGACCAATAAGATTCTTTCCAAAGAAAAAGAAAAATATCCACAGATGGGTTCTCAAACAGAACAGAGAAATGAGTGAGTTTCCCCTTTTGCTTAAAATATCGTACAAATTTCCAAATTTCTCCAAAAAACCCCCCCAAACCTTTCAGAGAAGAACAATGCAAAACCCTTCAAGTCCACTCATCTACGTCCTGGACCTATTCAGGTAGCGTGCGTTTGAAGTGCTTACCACAGAAGAGATGGTGCAAAACAACACGCATAGAATGGGTTTTAGCGTCAGCACTGCCAGAAAACTGCATAATTTAGGAGTAAAAAGATTCCGATGACAAAAGAGCTGCCATAAATACCCTAGACATTTCTAAATTCCTCTTCCTGTTGTTGTAAAATTCATCCTTAGAAGAGCATAGTTCACTACTATCAACGTTAGGGGACCTCTTTTTCCCCGTTGAATGGATTTCTGTGGTTCATGGAATGCTAAAAATGGAAAGAATGACCCATTTTACTAATAAATAGATTAGGAATTTACTGATTATGCAGAGTGAAGCGAATGTTGCGAGCATGTAGAGCAGCGGATCTCAAAACTTTTCGGCTTCCGGCCTGCAAAAAAAAAACAAATGTGGAAGTAACTTGTGACCTAGACTATTGGTTGAGTATGTAAATTTTACGTCAATTAAGCTGGTATGACTTTTGATATGGCATTTAAAGCATGAACACGTTTTACAACTACTATTTTAGTTGTATTCCTGACTAGGATTCCAAGTCCGCACACTTGTCAGATTTTGTCCCCAAGCATCGGGGAAAACTGCTGCAGAGTAAAGGAGCGTCCTACAAAAAGAGCATTTCCTAAACGTCAGTCGTCTGCTCGATTCTCTTTTATTGCTCGTGTTTGTCATACTTTGTATTGTGTGTTATTGTTGTGTAAATAATTAGAGGTAACAGCAGGACAGGAGACAACTGAACGCTTGGCTTCCTTCAGTCAAAGAGCCGTGGTGGCACTGCTTTGCTCTCTTTGTTAGCAGACAGCCTCCCTAACCACAGCTCTGGCTCAGCTGCAAGGACGAGCCTGCAGTCTTAAAAATAAAGACCTGTTTCCTGCTTTAGACATACCAGCTGCTCAAAATAACAAGGCACTTAATGAGAGATCCAGCACCACATTGCAGTCCCAAGCATCGGCTTATTTTTTTTTTATATTCTTTGCCCTCAAACATCTTCTGTATCTCTGTTTCTATTTATACTGGCAGACGGGGGAATTTAGATAAGCAGCCCCTCTCTATTTCAGTTTAAATGCTCACATACATTCATGTTTACAGCATAACCAAGTGTGTTCTTAAGTCTTTGTGGCAAAAAAACTGAAAATTACTGCTGCTTCAAGTAGAAAATACCTAAAGATAGATAGGTGAGCTTTACTTTGTACTGATGGAAATGAAGTTGCATCACAGCATGTGGTATATTTACTTTTACGTAATTCTCTGGCTGCAAATCAATAACATTTCAAAGTCACATATTTAAGTTTTGCCTTTAACAAACACCAGTTTGAGGCGATGGTGATTTTGTTCAACATTAATGAGATGCTATCAATCAAGTGCTGGAATTAGCTTTTTTCTTGGGTGACTAATCAATGATCACCAGGTCAAATACTAAGAAATCAGATCTTCTTCTTCCCCAAATTTTTAGATAAATTCAGTCTATGAAT